ATTGAACGCAGGCCTTTGCACTTGCCAGGCAAGCACTTATTCTACCAAGCTATCTTCCCAGCCCTGTAGTAGCTTTCTAACTGGTGGTCAATTTATTACACTCAAATTAGTGTGGTGCTGGGTGCAGGAGGCCCACCTGAGGCTTATTGTCAGCAGCATAAAGGCAGAACAGGAGAAACTGCTGAAATGCTGTTTGGAGAAGCTGTTGGAAGCTGCCACTTCTCCTGCTGGAGGACCTGTCATGCTGGCTTTCCCCATGAACTTTGGAGAGGCTCTGGTCCTCATCTTGCGCTTCCTGGCTCCAGAGGGGAAGATGGTGCAGTGCTCAACCTCTTGGAGAAGCTTGTCGCACTGACTTTCCTGATGGGAACTCAGCATTCCTCATTGCTGGAGGAGTTCAGGGCCTCACTGTGGCTGAGGATGGTTGTCATACCTTTGGGGGAGCTCTGGTGTGTAAATTACCGTGAGTGTTGCTTCCTAGCTCCAATGCAGATTCCTCAGCCTGCTAACACAGATCCTTCATCATACTGGCTATAAACTTTCTGTCTTCCACCACTGACCTTTGGGCCTTCCCAGCACAGATCCGTGAAGTAGGATCTGGGCCCTCAGCTGGAGTCTTTATAGTGTTTGTGTGTGGACAGATTTCCTGTACTTCTTGTATATGATTTTTGGGTGATTCATTATAAAATACTATCATAAAATGTGTCCTGTACTGTATTGTTACCCTTTCAAGAACCCCAAACCACAACAGGAGTCTTGTGTTGCCGAGGCTGGTCTTGAACTCCCACCTTAGCTTCCCAGAGCTCTGGGATTATGGACAGTCTTGAATTCGGAACTCTCCTGCCTCAACCTCTCATTGTGCTAAAGTTATATATGAACGTGCTACTGTGCTATACTCCTTTGTACTGTATTTGGGGACAGAATCTTGCTGTTAGCTTAGCCTGTCCCTGAACTTGCATCCTCTTGCCTCAGACTCCTGAGTAGTTGGGATTATGGTGTGTGACAAGATGCTCTGCTTTGCTTAATGATTTCATTTATTTTATGTTTTTGCTTAATAATTTTTAAATATACAGTTTGAGGGTATTCAATATATTTGTTACACAACCATCACCATCCATCTCTAGAATATTTTCATTTCCCCAAACTGGAATTCTGTGCTCATAACAATAACTTCCGGAGCCAGGGAAATGGCTTAGTAGAATAAGCGCTTCCCTGGCAAGCGCAAGGGCCTGAGTTCAATCCCTGGTTCCGCAAAAAAAATAAAATAAAGCAATAACTTCCATTCCTTCCCATGCCCCTGGCAACTACCATTATGCTGGTTGTCTCTTTTTTTAATTTAATTTTATTTATTTGT